CCCCCCCCCCCCCCCACCCCCCCGTCTGCCTGTAGCATGCATCCAAGGCCAGAGCTCAGGACTGCAGACTGGGTTGGTGCCTCCTCTGCCTCAGGGGCGTGGGAGCTGGGAAGGGGCTTTTAAGAAATAATAAAAGGAAAAAATAAAGTCTTTGGCAGTTTCTACCTACTCAGATCCTCAAAGGCTGCAAGGTTCTGATGATGTAGATTCATTAGGAATGTCTCCTTGCCAGCCAGGGCCAAGCCCCAGGCCTGCTGAGAGCAGAGGCCCTCCCAGTACCCAGGTTGCCACCACCCCAGGGGCCCTGTGCCCTGTCTTACAGAGGCCCAGGCCTGAGGCTGCAGAAATCTGGGGCAGCCACCATCGAGAAGCCCTTCTCAGGGGCCAGAACTCCTTTGCCAGCGTGGATTCAAGTCGGGACTGCATAACTAAAGCAGTTGCAGTTTTATTTTTTTTACAGCTTTTTTCCCAAAAATGATTTGTAGTTGTGTGTGCAGCACTTTGCCCTGATATGTGTGCTCTACAATAAAAACCAAATCTAATATATTTTGAAACAGTTGTCTGATACTGTCATAAGAGAGGACTTGGTGCTTCCTTAATCCCTTTATTTTCTCCTTAACTCTGAACCTGGGCTGGGGAGGCCAGCGTTCATTGCCTACCAGGGAGGGCCCCACAGGAGACAGTAGGGCTGAGGGCTGCAGGTGGTTTTGTCCTCTGCCTGCTGCCCTCTCTCCTACTCCGAGGAGGATGGACCGTGCGTCCAGGTGCCCAGGACGCCGTGGGCCTACGGGAACCAGGATCACACCTTGCTGAGTTCTGAAGCCCTTCCTCCTGGGCGTGATCAGACAGGCTGTGTGCCAGTGAAGGAGGGACAACATGAGCATGGGGAGAGCCTGGCCTTTGTAAAAGGTAGGCAAGTGGTTTTGCTCATTAAACAGTTCTTGGGTTCTTCTGTATTTTGGCCAAGCTCTCTCTGTGGCCGCAACAGTAAGCAAAACGCTTCTGGTCCCTGCTTTCAAGATGTACTACAGAATTGTGGGATACAGATACAGGCATGAGGCTGACGTGTTTAGGTGGACTGGGGTTCGGCCCAGAGGGTTTTTAGTCCCTCCAGATCCCGGTCCTGGCTGCCAGATTCTGGTCAGCTTTAGTCTGGAGTCTCCCTCATGCACTTCCAGTGCCCAAACCAGTCTGGCCAAATTCTTGCAATAGAAACCCGGCAAGTCCCTTAACTATCCATTTAAGAGAGCAGAAGAGAGAATCTAGAGGGAGCAAGTGACCAGCTAGGGCTTAGTCCTACAAATTGGTGAGAGGATATGAAGGGCAGTGAGGTAGAGCCTCTGTATGGTCTGTGACTAGTTGGACCTGCAGGGGTAGCCACTGGGCAGGATGGGCGGGGCCATGGTTGCCCCAGAGAGGAGGCAGTGGAGCTGAGAGGGAGAAGGACTTGCTCAAAGTCCTCCAGACTACGTGGCAAAGCGGGGCATCTTCCACTTTCTGCCCAGGCCCCTGACTCAGGCAAAAAATGGGGGGCTTATGTGGAGGGCTGGGGAGCTGGGACTCTACTGTAACTGTGACAAAACCACACTCGGGCTCTTTCTAGTCCCTGAAGGAAAAAGGCCCTTTGCTGTGCAGGAATGAGGGACAGGAGAGGCTGCAGGAAGGGGCTCTAGCCCTAACAGGTCCTGCTGTATCATTGGCTTCAGTCTCTGCACAGCAGTTCCAAGACACCCTGTCTCTGGACTAAGCTATTCTGAGTAGTCCCCAAGCCCTTGGGGGTCCCCCGTACCTGACTCCCTGAATCAGACTGCCTCCAGCCCAATCTTGCCCATGGTAGGTGCTCTAACAGCATCTGGCACCAGCCCTGCCTTCCTGAGGAGCCCATTCCATTCCCCGAACCCTACTGAACTGGGGGGAAATTGAGGCCCAAAGCATTCATTCAGAACACTTGAGTGTCCTACTATGTGCAAGGTTCTGTGTTGGGTGCTGAGGATACAAGACAGATCTGGTATCTCTCTCTCACACACACAGGGCTATTCTAAATTGTGCTGGCCTAAAAGAGGTATAGCATAGAAAATACAAATAGTAAGATATACAGTACACTATAAGTTCTGCATAGCCAAGTGTTCTTCACAGAATGCTTTTGTTGATCTTTTTGAATTCTTGTATTTGTAGCCTACTTGTGGTTGTAATTCAACCATGATATATGGCGAATGGAGTTGTAGCCCATCTGCTGATACTAGTTTCCCAGGGCTCCTGTAACGAATTACCAGACTTGGTGGCTAAAACATCAGAAATTTATTTTCTCACAGTTTGAATGTCTGAAAGCCAAAATCCCTGTCACTGGGCTGAGATCACGATTCAAACCATGCTCCTTCTGGTGGAGACTCTAGTCCTTGCGTCTAACAGTTTCTGGTGGCTGTCGACATTGCATGATTGTGGCCACAGGACTCCTGCCTCTGCCTCCGTGGTCACGTGGCTGCCCCTTCCGTGTGTACCAAATCCCCTTCTGCCTATCCCTCATTAGGACACTAATGACTGGATTTGGGGCCCACCTGGATAATCAAAATTAACCTGTCCACGTAACAATCTTTAGTCACATCTGTGAAGTACAAAAATTTGCAAGTTCCAAGGATTAGGACCCGAAATCTTTGGGGGTCACTGTTCAGCCTACTATACCACTCTCTTCCCAGTAAGTTTGTCATTAAATTTGGTAACGTGGCCTACTGGTTCCTCATCCTTGAACAAATTACATTAATTGGATTGAAAATTTCTCAGCCTCAGCACTATTAAAATTTAATCCCCATCATCAATATTTTCTCCATTGATTTCTTAAATCCAGACCTGTGCTCTCCAATACAGCAGCCACTGGACAATTTGTTGAACACTTGAAATGTGGCTGGTTTGAACTGAGATGTACTTTAAGTGTCAAATACACACCAGAATTTGAAGTTAGTATGAAAATAAAGAATGTAAAATAAATCCTGAGTTACTTTATATTAATTACATGTTGAAATGACAATATTTTGGACATACTGGGTTAAATAAAAGACACTTTAATTTCACCTGTTTCCTGTTACTGTTTTAAATCTGGCTACTCATAGATGTGAAATTACATATGTGGTTTGCATTCTCTCCCTATTGGATGGCACTGGTCTAGAAAGTCCTCAAATCCAGCCTGATCTGTGGTGTTTGCCAGTTTCCATGGTGTAAACACTCCTGTAGTGGCTGATTGAAAGCTGTCAACATAAAGTCATTGAACATGGAGTTGTGAAGAGGTGGACAGAAGAAGCACACTATTTATTGCACAGTATCTCCCCCAGACGGAGACAACAGATGCAAGGAAAAGAAAGTGTAGAGAGATGAGCAGAATGTTGTAAAATAGGAAGTGCTTAGTTCTGGATATTACCTTTGTTTCTAACATGATTTTATATAATTCTCAATAATGACCTTAACAACTGAATCACAAAAATTCCAAACATTTTATTTTACTTAAAATTGGCTCTTGTGAGTGGCTTCCCAAGGGAGGGTTTTGAGCAGAGGACGTGATCAGACTTAGGATCCCTCAGGCTGCTGTTGTTGAGGACAAGTCGAAATCATTAAGAGATTGGCATTGGCATTAGCAAGAGATTAAGGGGCTCCAAACTGAAGAGCTGTGGCCTACTGGCAGGGTTGAAGCCACTGGGTGGTGTGAGGGGTCCTCCAGCTACGTGTCTGGGTGCTCACCGGTGCAGTTCTCCCTGTGCCCACAATGTGGCAGCAGAATCTAGGTGACAGTGCTTCAGAGTGGAGCAGGGGACAGCTGTCCCTTGGCTTGGATGGGGAGCTAAGGCCCCAGAGGCAAGAACTTAGGTTCCTCAGTGCTTCTGCCCTGTTTGGCAGGGTTAATTGGTGTGTG